GAGCCTGCTTCGGATTCTGTGTCTCCTCTCTCTGCCCCTCCCCCTGCTCATGCTCTCTCTGTCTCTCTCTCTCTCAAAAATGAATAGACATTAAAAAATTTAAAAAGACACAAAAAACAAAGTTCATTTTCTGATCCTGTTTTCCCTGCACCTCAGGGGTTGCCCTGACCTTGGCTTCCTGGCCCAGACTCCTCCTCATTCTCTTTCTCTGTAGGGAAGACCGCGCTGCTGCACGCATTGGCCAGCAGTGACGGGGTGCAGATCTACAACACCGAGAACATCCGGCTCTTGCTGGAAGGAGGTGAGGCGCGTCCGCAGTTCCCTGTCCTCTCGCTGTGAAACGTTAAGCGTCACTTTGCAGGGGTTTGAGATCTTCTCCCACCTTCTGTTTTCTTGACCGGCCCTTGCAGGGGCAGACGTCAAGGCCACCACCAAAGACGGGGACACCGTGTTCACCTGCATCATCTTCCTGCTCGGGGAGACGGTGGGAGGGGACAAGGACGAGGCCCAGATGATCAGCCGCTTCTGCTTCCAAGTCACGAAGCTGCTGCTGGCCCACGGGGCCGACCCCAGCGAGTGCCCGGCCCACGAGTCCCTCACCCACATCTGCCTTAAGAGCTTCAAACTGCATTTCCCTCTCCTGCGCTTCCTGCTGGAGTCCGGAGCAGCCTATAACTGTTCCCTCCACGGTGCGTCCTGCTGGTCTGGCTTCCACATCATCTTCGAGAGGCTCTGTTCGCACCCGGGCTGCGCGGAAGACGAGAGCCACGTGGACCTCCTGCGCAAAGCCGAGACCGTCCTGGATCTCATGGTGACTAATTCCCAGAAACTCCAGCTGCCCGAAAACTTCGATATCCACCCCGTGGGCAGCCTGGCAGAGAAGATCCAGGCCCTTCACTTCTCCTTGAGGCAGCTGGAGAGCTACCCCCCGTCCCTCAAGCACCTGTGTCGCGTTTACATCCGCCTCTACCTTCAGCCCTGGCCTGTGGATGTGAAGGTCAAAGCCCTGCCTCTGCCCGACAGGCTGAAGTGGTACCTCCTTAGTGAGCACAGCGGTACCACGGAGGAGGACATCTGATCACTCCCCAACTGAAGGCGGCGGGGTCTGGGCAGCTCAGCCCGCTGGCGTATTTCGGTACCCGTGGCAGCCTTGGGGAGAACCTTCGGGCCTTCTGTCAGAAGGTACGGGTTGGGAGACGAGACTTCATCCGTACTGAGTACCAAGAAAACCAGGTGGGGCCTGGCAGCTAGTCATTCCAGTGGGAAAAGGCTCGGTCTTCCAGGGGCACCGCCCCCCAAGTCTCAACCACACTGGGAAAAGGGACAGGGTTTAGATTTGGGACAAGCATACACTCTGTTAATTTGAGGGGAGCACCGGGCAGGGTAGCTGTGAGGCCGGGTCCCGCTGAGAGCCGCAGGAGGCTGGTCTGTCCTGCGAGGGGCCCAGCGGATGCGAGGAAGCACGTGGGCCCGTCAGGGCACGGCCCGGCCTAGGCCGCCCTTCCCCCCTCCCCCCATGAGATTACGTCACCCACAGGAGTGCTTCTGGCGGACTAAGGAGAAGAGTGAGCCGAGCGCTGCTGCCTCTGGCAGCTCTGGGGCCAGGTCACCCAACGGCCCCGGACCGGGCTCTGGTGGCAGCTCTGTGCCAAACCTGGGATCTCGGGGGACCGTGCCTTCTGCTACAAAGTAATCCTGCATGACCAGGACAGCCCTCTCCAAGATGTCTCCGTGTTGCGCGGGGTCCGTCTGGCAAAGAAAGCCACCAGTGCTGACGGCTGACTGTGCTGCTGTACAGGCTGAGCCCCCAGCGAGCCGAGTGCAAGTCGCGTGCGTCACTGAATTGTGTCACTGCCTAGGAAGGAAGCTGAGGCAAGTAAATGATTCACGCTAACGTGAGACGTTGTTCTTGGCTCTCAAGATCCTTGTGTAACGTTCCGGCCCCTCGGTGCCCCTCCCCAGCCTAGGATCAAGGCTCCCACCGCAGCCACTGTGTGGGCAGCACGAAGGGACGGCAGCACGTGGGGGGCACGGTTTTCAGGTAGCATGACGCTGCTGCCCCATAAAGACGACCTCCGCCCCAGACCGGCTAGGACCTTTCCAATACGGGATTCACCCTTTTATTTTGTGACTTTGGCGAACGTTCACCGAGAAGCCGTGAGGCACAGCCCAGAGTGAGGCTATGGACTCCCCTTGCCGTAGGCTGTTGTGACGCTCACGTTAGGGACACCAGGGCTCAATCGCCAAACAGAACTTAGAACGTGAACGTCCCAGCGGCTGCAGGAGGCACCGCAAAGGCTCAGGCAGGGAGGGTGCAGACGGCCGGCCGCGGCTCTGCTTGCTGCCTGGCCCCTCTCCCTCCTCCTCCTCCTCCCC